AGTATGAATTACTCTTATGAATTTCACCAAATATCATTTCAAAGCTAAAATCTGGTTATCCTCAACATTCAATAATTTTTTATGAATTACCTTAAATAGTGAATTTCTATGAATTCCTATAAATTTATTAACCAAAAAACATAACATACACATCTGTCAAAACGAGACTACTTATCTTTTAATTTTCATGGATTTTATAGTATTCTATTCGAACAGAGTAGTCAGTAGATTTTTATCGATACTCATAAAACTCTCTATAAATCTTCACAAATCAATAAATTCAATATCGAGGATACCTCATAAATTTGTTAACTTACTCTCTTAAACTCAAATTCATTTCTAAGCATTTAATTACAAGAACTTATTTTTATTTGTCATCACTACCCTCCCCTCCTATCCTAGTGAGTGTAAAAATAGTCTCTAACTTTCTACAACTATATATCTTCTACTTACATTCCAACAACTTCTTTAATTTCAAGGAATGCCATCATCCATTTATTCACACCCTCTTATCCTCACTTAAATCTATATTTTTGTGAACAAATGTTGAAACACACACACACACACATATATATATATATAAAGTAACAGTTTCTGCACCACAATTGGAGGGAAAATCCCGCCTAAAATGAAGACATAATGGTGAATTAATGAAAAAATTAAATTTGGTAATGTATTAACTAAATTAAAGAATGACAATGACATTCTTATGTTACAATTCTATTCCAAAAAAATTAAGTAGGTAACATAGAATAAAAAAATTATAAAAAACAAAGAAGAAAAATAAAATCCCATATTTTTTTAAAGTGCTGTAACTTTTTTATTTGTACTCAGATTGTTCCAAAAAACATATCAAAATTCAAAGTTTTTTATTATCTTTCATATGACACCAATATTGAATATCTAAAAATAAACAAAAACAACACTTTAAAAACATCTTTTTTTAAGTGCTATAAATTTTTTATTTGTACTTTGATTGTTACAGAAAATATATCAAAATTCATAATTTTTTATTAACTTTAATGTGTCACCAATGTTGAATATCTTTATATAATACTACGTATGAAATAGAAAAATAGCTACAATTATTGGAAGGAAAATTCTCGCACAAAATGTAATCTTTATCTTTATCTTTTCTTTAAATAATATAAAGTAACAGTGTTGCTACAACTATTGGAGAGAAAATTCCCGCCCAAAGAAAAGACATAACTGGAAATTAATGTTGAACCTGAAAAATGACACCCAAGGGAGAAACGGTACGGTAGAGCATACATGCATATAAGGAAATGAAATATATGATGAAGCATTTATTGTACACAAATCTTTATCAAACAATACATGTATATTAATCTGCAAACCGAGATATATTAGGATAAACCGCCAACCTACTATAAAAAGTGTATTCAACAAATTAACTAAAAATCAAAATAAAGTGTGAGTAAATATGCAATCAAGATATTAGATTCGCTAACCTGCTATTGAAATTTACGATCACCAAACAAAAAAGTATTATATTGTTCAATGATTTTTGGAAAGAAGGAAGACACACCCATCATTTATTTATGTCCACATTTGAAGTTGACACATATGCATTGTCCATATAAATGCATTATGGTTTGACTGGATTATATATGTCAACTTTTCAAATTGCTTATACGAACCACAAAAAAGAAAACTAATGCCTTATATGTAATATATATGTTGTATATGTTATGTACGTATAGGTAATTACACCTAAATAATAAAAGAGCAAGTGCAGCTACTTTAGGTTGTTAAAATCTAAATAATCCATATTCTCTCCCATTGCATAAATGTGCTTAAATTATTCTGTCCAAATTTTGTCCAAAAATAGTACTACCTCTGTCCCCTAATATTGGGACGGAAGAGAGTGATGTGGTTTTTAAGAAAAATAAAATTATGTGGTTGATAATGAGTTGATAAAGTGGAATAAAGTAAGAATGAATTAAAGTTATCAAATACGGTATAAGACAATTATAGGGGGACATCCCAAAATGAAAAAATGGGACAATCATAGGGGAACGGAGGGAGTACCATTGAAGCAATTTTAAGTTTCTAAAACCTAAACAATTTAATTGCAATTATAAATAACAACAAAATTTCAATTCCCATCCACAAACTCTATATATATACTTAATTTTCCGCCTTTCATTAACAATCCCGGTAAGAACAATGCATCTAGATGAAATCTGGTCCAAATCTATTACGTTGTGCTATAAAAGATATAATTAGCGAAGAGGGAAAAATCATATAGAATTATATAGAATGCTAAATCTGATGAAGTGTGTAATATTGTTCTTATATAAGCTAATTATTTTATATAAATATATATACATGTTAAGTTATGCATATCTATATATATACATATTATATGTGTATCCATAATGCTAAAATGTAGGTGTTTTTTCTTCCTAAAATTAAGATAATGTGGGAAATGAAAAAGTAATTTTGATTCTCAAGAGCATAGGGACATTAAAAAGTTAAAAAGTAATATAAGAAGTATTTTATATTGTGTTTACTTGGACAGTTTTCAGTCCCAGACCATAACAGATCAAACTTCAACATACCAGACCAGATCACACTTTCATAGTTATAAAATACCTAAAGACCAGACATTTACCAGACCTGACCCGAACAGTTCAGACCATACCAGACCAGACTTAAACATACCAGATCAGATCAACAAATTTCAGTCCAAGTAAAAACATCCAAAACGGGCTGATGAAGTATATATTATTTACTATGTGTAGGAAACCTTCATTCTTATGCGTGAAATCAAGAGTTACACGTTTGATGGGAAAAATGGTTGATAAACCATGATAACCTAAAAAAAGTATGGTCACGAAACGGGCCCATCCCACCACAAAAGTTTTGTTTTTGATTCTTTTTTTCATAAGTGGTTTATTTTAAATATTAGATGAGAAGAGATTAATAGTAAAATTTGGAGTGTTTGAAAACGATTGAATTGAAAAGAAAAAGATATAGCGTTCAACCTCAGATTAGACTAGAGTCAAATAGACTATATTAGACCATACTTCGATAATTGCAAAAATACACAAAAATATGACATTTATCAAATCACTTAAACCAGACCAGACTAGACCATAAATTTTTTATCGAATTTCAAACATTCTAAACCACAACGGTAATAACTAAAATGTCACAACACATACCAATGGAATTATCATTGTTAATATAAATTTGAATAATTATATTTTACTATGGATTTAGATCACAACCAAATTTTAAATATTATTTGTATTTGCACCCCTTTATTCAATGTGAATTGTTTAGGCTTGATTGAAACCACAAAAAACACATTAACATATGATTGTTCTCCACTTTTTGAGTAAATTAGATGCAATCTCTTATTGGCATAGTGTTTTTCATATTTGTATGAATTATATACATCTTAATAATACAAATGGATATTTACTTAGTATTTATTTGTAAACCAACTAATATGTTTATCCTTGCAAACTTGGAACAATTCTTTGCACCAAAACAGAGTTGGATAAATGAAAGTTTGCACCTAATATGATTTCTCGCTCACGCGGCTAATAGCAAATGTGTTTTGGAGGTGAAGATTATATCCGGTAAAAGTATTAGTCAAACATTTTTTATTTCACAGTTATCATTGGTCTCGTCATATGACAGGGTTTTTTCACATTTTAACGTTGGAAATCCTCAATCATCGTTTCATTTCCCACGAGTCCATGACATAAAAAACAATCAAAGATGATGTCTGTACAAGTGGATATACATCCAAATTCCATTTTTAATCATGTTCAATTGTATGTTGTCATGTAAAGTGCCACCTCAATGGGTGGGTTAAAGATTCATATATTTGATGAAGAGGGTCATGCTATCAACACCAATGGCCTAAATGATTTTTTTGAAAATTTATGATACTTTTTGTATATTATGAAGATATATGATTATCCTTTTTTTATAAAGTTTCATGTGACCCACTAATAATTGTATTACAGTGTCATTTCATTGTAACATAGACCTTACTCTTACACTTTATCATTAATTTTAATTTTAATTTTAATTTTACTTGCATTTTTTCACACAGTCCAAATTTTCGTTTGCCTACAACTTCTATGATATAATCAAAGTTACAATATACTCCGTATAAAAGCTATTGTCTTTTTAATTTAGCAAAATTACATAATATGTATCATCTTAACAAAATATAATTTTAAATAATGTGTTTATGTACCCCGTATTATATTCAAGATATATACCGTGCATCGCACGGGTACTTCATCTACTATATATATATATATATATATATATATATATATATATATATATATATATATATATATATATATATATATATATATATATATATATATATATGTTTGAACTTATATGAAACAGACATAGTTTAAGATATGCTCATCTCCGTTCAAAGAGATAATTAAGTTGTTAAGCATAACTAGCTGAAAGGATATTTTTATAAGCTTTTTAGTAATAATGGTCAGTTGTTAGATTTAGTTGTGTGTGATAAAAGAAGCTGCACTAACTAATTAAAACTACTTACTAAAAAGTAGAGCCTATTTTGCAAAAACTACTCAGTGTTGCATCTAAAAGTATTTTATTTTTAAGAAAGCTTTTAATATTATTGTGCCAAACATATAACTCAATGTTTTACAAACTCTTTAAATATTATGGAGTAAAAATTAAAGATTTTAACGTAATGTAAGGACTTGAACAGATCAGACGAGTTTAGACCATATCAAATCAGATCAAAGCAAACCAAATCATACAAGATCAAATTAGACTAGAACTTAAAATTCCAGTTCAAGTAAAAATATTTATCTTCTCAGTCTGGTAAGTATAATGTTATGATTGTTTTCACAGCTTAATCGATACATTGATAATTCTTTGGATACCTTTACTCATATAGTCCTATTCTATGTTTGATTTGTTATTTTCCATTGTTTTCTAAATTGACAGTATATATGTTATTTCCAAATTGGAGTATTATCAATTTTGTTAAAAAACATATTGTCCAGTATTGAAAATCATATAGGGCAACCCTGTATACATATATAGCAAATCCAGAGATGAATACGAGTAGTTTTTATGAAGCAAAATGGATAACCCCACCACAGGAAATAAAAAGAAAACAGACACAAATAAAATAATTAAGCAACGGTCATCACTTCTTCCTGTTTTTATCCTTCCCACCGGAAAAAAAAGAAGGTAAACGAAAGAAACTTCCCGGCGGAATATTCAAGACTGGGTTTATCCCCATCCCACTGTAATTCATCAACTTCTTCAGCGGAGGCTTTTGATGATGATGACCGGTAGAGACATTCTGTGACTGTTTCGTTGAAGAAGATGAAACTTTCTGGTAATTTCGTTTGGTAATTGGGGAAGAAGATCCTGTAGAATTGCTTCTTGACATAAGAGGCAATGGACATAGAGTTCCAGTCCCACAACTCAAACTTGAACTCCGCCCTAGTTTCCACCTCTGTTTTTGCAGCGGCGGCAGCGGCTGAGGAGGAAGGGGATGCGGCGGCGGCGGCGGAAATACCTTTCTTTGCTGACCCATACCTCTCTTGATCTCAGTAGGAAGAATCTTTCCGTCCAAGAAAAGCTCATCTGCTGAAGAAAAATGATCAAATCTCTCCCTGAGAACACAAAAATTGAACTCCGAGCTAGACAGGGGCGGCGGCGAGCTCTGCCGGATGTTTTGATGTTCGGCGGCGGGTGCGATGTCCCTCATGTCCGCCGGCGAAACATCATGGGAAAATGATATTCTTGGACTCATTATGATCGGCCTGGAATCTTGGGAAGGAAATTGAACAGCCAGCATTGAAGTGATGGCTTGTTTTTCAATACAAACAGAGCTTTGGGATGGGGCAGAGTAGATGATTAAAGGGAAGGGATGAGATGATGAAGATGCGATGATGAAAACTTGAAAATTTTCCTTAGCTCAACAAATCTTGAAGATGAAGAAACTGAATTGGCGCTTGACCAAGTCTATAAGCGATCTGTTTGTTGCGCGTCTTCATTCATACGCTTCACCGTTCTCACCCGTGATCTTATACGAATTTCCACAAAATATTTACATCGTTAAACTCTTAAATACTCGGTACAGTTTTTTCCAGGATTAATGTTAATTAATCAAATAATTACGGAATTAATGTTGGGTTAAAACTATTTATCAATATATTGCCGGGTTTAACTCTAGTCGGGAAAAGTCGTCAAACCGTTTGACGACTTTCCCTATAAATAAACTTCGCAAGGTCAACTTAGACAGAAAGATCGAGTGCAACAACCAAAACAGCTCCGTCAAAGATCGATTTCAGCAGCCAAATCCGACGACTACAATGACTAGAAGGCTATTCCACCTATAAAGGATACTCCTCAACCATCTTCTTCAACCTCTTCAACTCTAGGTAAATCAAATCCCCAACTTCATCTCATTTTTGAACTCAGGATTTGCAATCGATAATTTTCAAATTTGTAAATTAGGAATTCATTTGTGAATTGATTTGTCGTGAAATGTGGATATGTATGAAATGCTGAATTTTAATCTTGAATTCAATGTAATTTTTTGATTTTGTTGTGCATTTGTTGTGTAATGTGAATTTAAATGTGAGATTTTGATATTTTTTTGTTAAAAACTTATTATTTTTATTTTTTTAAGTGTGGTATATGTAATAAGATTTTCTTAAATATGAGAGTTTATAAATATGTTTTATGTCTATGAAATATTTTTTGGTAGCCATGGAGTTGTCAGTGGATCCAGGGCCGAACGATCGATCTGTCCTGACATTGCAGGCCACGCATAGGACTGAGGACGTGTGGCGTGGCCTCAATGTGCAGGTTGATAGGTGTCGAGAGCACCTCCGTAGTTTGTCCCACGTGCAGGTGGATGATAGAGTATTATCATATGTTAGAGCAACATGTTTTTATGGTGTTCACATATTGATGGCTACTGTCACACTTGATAGAGCGCTACTCACTGCTCTTCTTGAGCGTTGGAGGCAGGAGACACACACATTTCACCTCCCAGTTGGTGAGGTGACAGTGACCATGGGGATGTGGCTGTATTGACGGGGTTACAGGTCCATGGGAGAGCAGTTACAGGTACTGCGTGTCGGCCATGGGTTGAGGATGTTGACCTGTGTCGCACATCATCGGCTTCTGGTATCGGTTTCTACAGAGATTCATTTGATCGCATGTCTGATGATCAGGTACGGTGTATATAACTCACATTGTTATGGTTTCGTATCATTAACTATGTGTTTCGTATCATAATATAACATTAACTATGATATGAATAAGATTAAGACTAATTTTTATCCTTATGAAACAGATTACATGGATGCCATATACAGCTCAGATGTTAGAGGAGTTTTCCACGGCAGGACGAGAGCATTATGCTATATGGAGAGCACGTGTGCCATTGATATGCTTTGACATTGTTGAGCTTCATTTGCCTGATCGTGTTATGCGGCAGTTTGGTTATGAGCAGGTCATTCCAGCAACTGTCGACACATTTGTAGATCTTCATAAGCTGGATAGGTGTGGGAAGCCTACAGAGGATTGGTCTCTCAGACATGCCCGATACGTGGCTATATGGAATAGGCGAGCGGAGCTGGTTGTGACTGGGACGCCGACATTTGTCCCAACTGTTTCTATAGACTATATTAGATGGTATTACAACATCACACGGGTGTTTGTATCTCCATCTTTCAGACACCCTACTCATCATTACCAACCTAGTTCCATGCTTTTGCACTTGACAGTGAGTGTGCTCATAATTATTAAAGTAATTCATGTTCGTTATTTAAAATTTTTAATTTATTTCAAAATAATTATATTTCATTTTTCACATTTCACACACGGGCTTTGCAGCATATACATGAGCGAGTGACTGCCACAGTTAGTGAGACGCATGACGTGGACACGTACCATCATATTCTAACGGGCATTGCTTCCTTGTGTTCGGATGTGTTGGGGCGAGTGGACTAGGGCCATCTTATACATATGACCCCCTCTGAGGATTCTATGCCATCGACATCTACAGCAGCAGCTTCTACATCCCAGACTCAGTATGACAGGGTTGTTCTTCAGCAACGTCAGCGGCGTAGGCGTATGCGTTAACAGCAACACCTCCATGACCAAGACGACCAAGAAGACCTTCAAAACTTGTAGTCTGTCTCTATTATTGTACTTATTCCTGTAGCCTAAATTTGTAAAAAAAAATTAATCTGTGAAACACTTTATGACGTATGTCCACCTGCAACGTATTGAATTTTAGTTATTTAATTGTTTGTTTTTATGTGTTTATATGTTGGGTTATGCAAATGTGTTGATGTGCTCATGTGTTGAATTCTTTTAGGCTTTTGTTTTTGTTCAGTGTTTCTGACCAGGATTTGTGAAAATGTGTTATGTTTTCATCTGTTTTCTGAAGATTCTGGTTTTGCAGGTGTAGGGGGAAAGTCGTCAAACGGTTTGGTGACTTATAAGTCGCCATCCGGTTTGACGACTTTCCCCGACCAGAGTTAAGCCTAACAGTATATTGGTAAATAGTTTTAACCCAACATTAGTTCCGTAATTATTTAATTAATTAACATTAATCCGAAAAAAAACTCCTTAAATAAAGGTAGGTAATGAGAGGATAAAATTCTCTAAATAGGATGGAGATATAGTAATATAGTACTCCGTAATTAGTAATATACGGGAAAAAATCTCTGGTTAAAATCTTAATGTTTCCTTAAAAGAATTTCAATACTCTTCTTTAAATATAGTACTCTCTCCGTCTCATAAAACAGTTCCCGCACTTATTTCGAATGGAGTTTAAGAAGGTGAGAATAAAATGGAAATGTATGATTGTCGTTGACTAAGAAAAAGGTAAATGAATGTGAGCCACACAAAAATTTTCAAAAAGGGAAATGGGAACTATTTTTTGGGACGGTCCAAAAAGGAAACCCGGGAACTATTTTGCGGGGCGGAAGGAGTATAATTTTGAAACATTATAGAATTTTGAAAATGTGAATGATATTTTATCTTGAATGCATTCTTTTATTACTTCTATTTAATAGTGTATTATAAGAACTTATATGTAACTACTCTTAATATTTATTATTATAAATATAATGCTAGGACTCCCATATGGAAATGTCATTCTTTTACATAATTAATATCTCACATGTGATCAGAGACTTGAGACTTAGTACCTTGTGATAGAACAAAAAATGTGATTGGTTGTAAATGGATTTACAAAACTAAATATAGTTCTGATGGGTTAGTGAACGTCCCAAGGCTCATTTGGTAGATCAAGGGATTAATCAACAGACCGGGGTGGATTTTCTTGAGACATTTAGTAAAGTGGTCAAACCCCTACCGTTTGTCTTGTTCTTTCTGTTGTTATTTCTTTGGGGTGGACGGTTCATTAACTGGATGTTAAAAATGTGTTCCTTCATGACCAGCTCACTTAAATGCTCTTTATGGTCTCAAACAAGCTCCAAGAGCTTGGTTTCGTCGTTTTAGTGGTTTTCTTTTTACTTTCAGGTGGCTTCTCTCAGAGTCGGCTCAACTTGTCTGTGTTTACCTACTACTATCAGTCTCGTATTCTTTATGTCCTTTTATATGTGGATGACATTCTTATCGTTGGTAGTTCTTTGTATTTGGTTCATCATTGTATAAATCTGTTAGTTAGTCAGTTTGCCATTAAAGACATGGGGGATATTCACTATTTTCTTGGTATCCAGACCCTTCGAACCCCCAAAGGTATGTTTTTGTCCAAGCAAAAATAAGTTACTAATTTGTTACAACGTTTCCATCTTCGTACAGTAAAACAAGTTCGAACACCCCTTCCATCTCGCATCACTTTGTCTCTCTTGGATGGAGATCTCTTAAGTGATGGTACTAAGTATCGCAACATGGTAGGTGCATTACAGTACTTGACCATTACTCGACATGATATTACTTATGTCGTACATTTGGTCTCTTAGTTTATGCATGCCACCCATACTACTACTCTTCTTGGTGCTTTGAAAAGAATTTATAGGGTACCACATCACACGACCTATGACTCCGATCTGGGCAGAACATCTCTTTGGTCGTTGCTTATTCAGATGTTGATCACTTGATTGGGCAGGTTGCCCTGATTCTTGTCGCTCTACTACTGGATATCCTATTTACATGGGAGGCAACCTTATTTCATGAAGATCAAAGAAGCAACCTACAGTATCTAAATCTTCCACAGAGACTGAGTATCAGGCGGTTGCACACGGTCCAGGACACTCTTTATTCAGTCCTTACTCTTAGATATGGGCATCGGGATTTCCCGTCCAATTTAGCTATTTGTGACAATGTCTCTGCCTCATATATCAACGTGAATCATATTCAACATGATCGCAGCAAGCACATCAATATAAATTATCACTTTGTTCGTGAACGTGTGACTCATAGGGATCTGGTGATCAAATATATTCCCACTCAGTATTAATTAGCGGATATTTTTACTAAAAATATGTCTATTCAATGTTTTGAATTTTTACGTTCCAGCCTGCACGTGATTTCCCCTGCACATATTGAGGCAAATTCTAACTTCCGTTGAAAGAAAAGAATTCAATACAACAACAACAACAACATCCAAGCCTTAGTCCCAAAAGATATTGGGGTCAGCTAACATGAATCGATACATGATATCACTACCAAAAGGAAAAGAAAGAAAATAAAGATAAAAAAGATAAGCTATGATAAAAAGATAATATAAAAAGAGATGAATATACATAAAAATGATAAAATAAAAAGGATACAAATAATACTTATATATATATATAAGGATAAAAACAAGGGAAAAAAATGAGGGGAAAAGATGATACATAAAAACACAAGAATCTTTAAAAAGTTATAAGAGTGAACGAGGGTAAGAGTATTTTAGGTAATAAAAAGAAAAGAATTCAATAATTGATGTTTATTTAAAATACATAAAAACACAAGAATCTTTAAAAAGTTATAAGAGTGAATGAGGGTAAGAGTATTTTAGGTAATAAAAAGGGAAAATCGCATATATGATCTCTCAGTTATCCACAAAATTAAAATCTCAGACCTGTATTTCTGAGATTGTAAATGTCACCCCTCTATTGTCCAAATTGTTGTAGATGTGGTCCTTTAAGTGGTGAAATGCACTCTCACCCACATTGTATATTTCAGCCCTCAAAAGGACCACATTTACAACATTTTGGACAATTGAGGGGGTGACATTTACAATCTCAAAAATACAGGTCTGAGATATTAATTTCGTGGATAACTGAGGGATCATATATGAGATTTTCCCTAATAAAAATGTGTTGGTGTAGTGCATTGTTAATATTACTTGTACAATCTGCTTTCACTGCTATACATCTAACTAAATAAATACTTTTACGTTATATACTACTTGGCCTTCCTTGTCGGGTCGGGGTGGGAGGGCTCCTGGGGTGGGAGATTCCACCTTTTGGAACAATTTCTATATCCGTCCCAAAGACCCAAGCCTGTTAGCCAGGTGCAAGTGACAACCTCAAAAACTTGTGAGAGCGGGGCACTCTGAAGTCTGAACCCTGCATAGGGATCATGCTTAAATTTATGTAAGACTATCTAAAAAAGAACTTTTGCACCAATCCGTTCGATTTGTATCTCTTGCCACTAGGGGTGGATTCGGTTCGGGCCACCCGGCCCGTGACCCGGCCCGGCCCGGTACTGTGCGGGCCCGGGACCGGCCCGGTCGGGCGGTCCGGGACCGGGTGTGGACCCGAACCGGTGGGAATGGGCGGGGCGGGCACGGTTCCGGAAAAATGTGACCCGGCCCGGCCGGGTCGGGCCCGGGTCCGGGTCCAACGGTCTAATTTAAAAAAAAATTAATAAATTGGTACTAGCCGTTGGGGGTGGGCTGGGGACAACCCAAACGGTTATATAGCCGTTGGGTGGGGTGCAGGGGGGTCCGGGGGGGGTCGGGTGGTGGGGGGGTGGTGGGGGTGGGGGGTAAAAAAACCTATAAATACTCCTAATCTTAAACATTTTTTCATATCTCTTCTCCAATTCTTCCTAAATCCTATTCTTAACTCTCTACTCTCTAATTCTCTTATTCTCCATTCTCCAATATATTATATTTATTATTTATAGTTTATATTAATTATCTACTTATATAAACTATAAATAGATATAAATAGTATTATATTACTTATATTTGTTATCTAATTATATATTACTTGTATATTTATTATATCTATTAATATAGTTGGAATTATATCTAATTAATTTGAAGTCATTCTATTACTCCCATCCGAAAGACCGAAAGTCCGAAAGAGGTACGAAATTATTCTATTATTTACACTTGTTTAATTACTAGTTAATTTGCTACATTTGACTCTAGTTTAATAGTTTGATAAATAGTTAATTACTTTTTTACAATTTTTTATTAATTGCTACATTTGACTCAAGTTTAAAAAATATGTTGTACACAAAACTAGTTAATTCACTAGTTAATTTGCTATAACTCGAATTAATAGTTAGATAAATAGTTAATTACTTTTTTACAATTTTTTATTAATTGCTACATTTGACTCTAGTTTAAAAAATATGTTGTACACAAAACTAGTTAATTCACTATTTAATTTGCTATAACTCGAATTAACAGTTAGATAAATAGTTAATTACTTTTTTACAATTTTTTATTAATTGTTACATTTGACTCTAGTTTAAAAAATATGTTGTACACAAAACTAGTTAATTCACTAGTTAATTTGCTATAACTCGAATTAATAGTTAGATAAATAGTTAATTACTTTTTTACAATTTTTTATTAATTGCTACATTTGACTCTAGTTTAAAAAATATGTTGTACACAAAACTAGTTAATTCACTAGTTAATTTGCTATAACTCGAATTAATAGTTAGAAAAATATTTAACCGACCCGACCCAGCCCGGCGGGTGGCCCGACCCGTGACTCGGGCGGGTGGCCCGGCCCGAACCGGACCCGTCCAACCCTCGGACCGGTCCCGGGCCCATGTCATACGAACCAGCGGCCCGACCGGGCCCGAAGCCATCCCTACTTGTCACTATCACTGAATTTTGTCAACTTTATCCTTTAATTGTAAAATGCTATTTGTACACTTTTTGTACAAGACATCTTACACACCTACTAATTTGTTTGTGCACAAACAATTTTCTTTTGTTTTGTGAAGAGAAATCCTTTTCACACCAATAAAACTTTTGTTTGTGCCACAAAATAATGCAATGCAAAAAATAATTTCCTTCAAAAGATGAAAAAAATTTGCGTGTAACAAACAATTTGATCGGCGTGTAAAATATCATGTACAACAATTTTTTTTTAATTTTTTTGCAAAAAAATGTCAGTGCAATAAATAATTCCCTTTACAAAACCAAACAAATTATTTGTACACAAACAATTCGACAGACATGTAAAATGTCATGTACAAAAAACATGTACACGATGCATGATTGTTGTCTAAAAACATGTGTTATTTTTCTTTTAAATGAACTCAACAGTCGTATACAAGGGTGGACTAAGTCCAGGTCGGGCCGGGCTCCGGGACAGGCTGGAGCGGGCTCTGGGTCAGGCTGGGGCGGGCTCCGAGTCCAAAATATGCAGGCCAGGAATCAGCCCGGGCTAGAACCGGGACCGGGCCGGGTCAGGTCGGGCATGAAATATATTTTTTTGTCTTTTCGAATTAATTCCAACCCCCCACCGGCCCAATTGCCCCAAACCCCCCCAAAGCGCCCAACGGCCCAACCCCACCCCCATAACAGCCAGCCCAACTCAAAATAATTTAAAAATATATATATATTTGGGCCCGGACCAGGACCAGTCGAGCCAGTCCACCATTTCTCAGTCCTTCTCTAGTTCTCTTACCTTGGCTAGTGGGGCATTCGTCTATGTACCTGACCGGGCCGGGTCCCGGGTCGGGCCGACTCAGCCCAGTCCACCCCTAGTCGTATATGATTCCACAATGGAATCATATGTGTATGTGGTATTCTTATAAGCATTCATTTTTATAGTAGAGTTATACAGGAAGTCCCATTATAAAAATGCGTGGCATAGTGAAACCACATATGCCATACGACTCCTTAATGAAATTAAAGGCCTCCATACAATTTCTGGCGTTTCCACCCTACAAATTATCAGCTGCACGTGACACTTGTGATCCAATTCCAGACTTGATTGGTTTCACTTGTAGAATTTAAGAAGTGACAATACCCGACAGTGATAGGTGAATGCCCCACTAGCCAGGGTAAGAGAAAGACTGAGAATGAGCTTATACAGCAAAAATATCACTTGATACTGGTGCTGCTGAAATCCGAAAAAAGATTTTTAGAGTCATATATGGCAAACCATTATGCACCAAGAAATGGCTTTATATGATAGTGGTGGTGCTGAAATCCAAAACAAGATTTTCAGAAATCTTCAACAATCATCTGACAAAAAAATTTGGGAAATTAAAAGCTTTTACAGAAAAATAAATGAAAAGGTTGTCCATCCAGTATGACAAATAATGCCCCCCCCCCCCCCTCCCCCACCCCCACCCCAAAAAAACTCAATAGTGCAGCAACCATCACAGGTGAACAAACTATGATTCAGTGTTGTTGCATTCTCACATTCTTGTCCACCAATACATCATAGCACTTTCTTTTACCATAATGCTATTCCTCATTATGTTGGCAAGCCATTACTAGGTTGTTGGAGAAATGCCACGTTACCACTATACAATCATGGCTGATCCAGACAGCACTTGGACCATAGGTAAATAGTGGTAGTAGCAATCACATGATATGTTGTATCTCTACATGTTTGATTTTCTTTCCCACCTCTTTTTCACACCAAGGCTACAATTTCACATATTCAAAAGCATGAGAAATGTTAACTACAAAAAGATAACCTACGATAAATGCAAGCATTGCTGAACAAATTTTTTAATTGAGAATTAATTAGAAAGACAAGAAATTATATCAACCACACAACCCTTCTTTTTGGGATCTTTGGTTTGGGGATTTCAGAAGAGAGAGAATGCAAGGGGTGATTTTATTGTTTTTATTTTTCCTTACATCAAGTGATTGGAAGAAAGTGAACAAAATAAATAAACAACTCCTCTAAATATAAACTAATAGTTATTTCTTGTCTCAGACTAACAATAAAGGCCAATTAGTAAAACAAAAACAAATCCTTCACTCCAAATCCCCCCTGAACCAAACAACCCCTAAAATTTGAAAGAGGAAGATTATTTAGGGATGAATCAAAAAAGAAAGTGGGAAGATTAAAACGGATAAAGGGAGTATAATATTTACAGACCAACCCCAAGTCCCCAAAGCTTCACCACCCACGCTATTATGTTTTATCTCTGCTACAGCAGAGTAGCGGCCAGCATGAAATATGCATTTAACTTTCGTCAACTTGGGAAAGCCTCTTTTTTCTAAACTCAGTTTCTTATTTTGGTTCCGTGCCCTAATTAATAAAACCGTTGAAAATGAAATGATGTGGACATGTGGTTGGCATTTAAGTAGAAAAGAAAGGAATGTTAAGACAAAAATTTCTTTCTTTGAAAAGAAACTGGTAGATTATTTTGAGATGGCCAAAAAAGGAAAACAAGAAGTTTATTTCGAGAAGGGGTGTAATAACTAAACGAGCTATGGCAAATGCGAGTCTTGAGGGACCCTTTATTTCGTGACCAACAATACTCCTTTTATGGGAAACATCTAGATAATGCTTTGCATTCGATTCTTGAGCTATGAATGTCTGGAAAAGAACATATGAAGGAAACAATACCCCCAGTGCAATTTCTGGCACTTGTGTGACTCTTTGTGTACCACTGTATTCTGATGATTAGAAGGGAAAATATCGTCTGAACTGCTTCTTGGAACAGCTAAATCTTCTGGAAGACCATCAGCATTTTTGCTCGTGTGTTCTATACTTTCTTTAGTTTTGTTATCTTTATCATGAGATTTGCGGGGTGCATTAACAATCTCTGCCAGGATAGAAAAGAAACATAAGTCACCTCCTTTTTTGGGAATAACCTTAAATACAACCAAAGGTACAAACCTTTTTTCAAGCAACTTTTAGTTTTTGACTTTGCTTGTATCTGTAAACGCCTTCTACGCAATTCCTAACAAATACAGTTACACTCAGAAGGTCATATCACTAGGATACATAGAAAGTGTCAAAGTCGTAAACTCGATGAATTGTATAGTGGTAGAACGGTAGAACCTAAGTACATGTATATGCTCCCCCTCATTTTCAAATGGAAGAGCTACATTCCTTCAGAAATGAGCAATAGTTTCTTCTGAAATTATCTCTCCAGGGAAATTTTAATTCTTTTCACACTTAAAATGAAATTTTTATCAAATGTCAACTTTTACGTGGAGAGTAGTAATTAATACGGAGTAATAATAAAACAACTCCGTACTACTTTTAACTGATATATCAGTAAAAAAGTAAAATGGACTTCAACAAAAAAAGTGACAAAATTTTCAATCAATCAATTTAGGAATTCACTTATTCACTAGTCGAGATACAACCCAATCCAAAAGGTGGAATCGCCTACCCCAAACCCGACAGAATAGCAGAACCATTTCTCTGTGGTTTAAAGATGGTGTGCCCGAGGAGGGATCAGGGGCCTCTGCCTTGCTTTAGTGGGCAATGAGAGTGCCGGACTGCCCGGCCATTTTCAACCTTCAGATGGAAAAAATAAGGGTAGAAGGTGAAGGGGCCCATTTTGTTCAGTAATGTTCACACATCTCAAGGCCTTGGATTAAATCACAGCCCTCCATTGCCGTAAGGCAGTCTGCTTAAGGCAGTCTGCCTTAAGGCAGAGAATCCAACCCCACGAGGAGCCACCGAGCGACCATTGAACCAGAGACCTAAAACTCAATAACCTCATTCAGCAACAGGAACTAATGAGCTAGGGTACTAGTCAAGATACAAGGTTTTAGCATTTAGGTCATGTTTGATGTTTCTACATATAGATTGCTTCTTTTTCAATATTACACTCCCTGTCTCCCTATTATTGTGTCAGTTCTTATTCACTCGGTCAACACAAATCACTATTAATCACAAATCACTCTTAATCTCTTACTTTGTATCAAATTTCGATTCTGATTTTTGTGACTCTTTGTAAAGCTAAAAATATGTAATTTTTCGAATAACAAATTAAATGTAGTTTTCGAATATGTAATTTTTTTACCTAAAAATAATTTGAGTGCTTACAACTATCTGTTTGCTTTATATCGGTCAAAATAGGTGAAACATGATAAACCTAAATGGAACAATAATAGGGAGACGAAGGTAGTAGTGCATAACACATCAATTTCAGCTAGAAACCTAACGGTACTGCGAGAATAGTATAAGGATGAGAAAAAGAGCTTTACTTGAAACTTCGAAAGCTGGTCAGCTGTGGGGCCAGATTTGGGCTTTTTATCGGAGAGTTGAGAGCGTGCGGAGGCCATCGCGGCTTCTCTTCCTGCGTCGGCGTCGTCTTCCATTGCTCCTTGTACAGGAGAATTAATTAGGACGGAAACCCAACTCGGTCCAGTCTCTAAGAAGGAAATTGAATTTTAAGTTTATTTGTTTAAATTTGCCAAAAAAAGTTTAATCGTATAAATAGAAATTAGTTCGGTTCAAAAAAAAAATAGATATTAGTTCAAATAGGACTAAAACTATAGTAAAAACTCAAAATTAAATTGCTATGTACCAAGTATTTTTGTATCAAAATATGATTATATTTGTTCTATTAGGAACATATCTATTTTTTCATTTCAGTTTTACCCTTCCTTTAAATATGAGTAAAAAATAGTCAAAAGTTATAATTAAATGTTTAATTCATAATAAATTCGCAAAAAAAATCTTAAATTCGTAGAAAAATAATTAAAAAATTAATAAATATTTATAAAATAAAAAATTCCGAAAAAAATTATTTTTTTTAAAAAAATAATAATAAATAGTAAAACTCCATAAAAAATTAAAAAATATATAGATGTCTTTCCCACCGTCTATACTACCTCCCTGCATCACCACCTCCAGCCGGTGAAAAAACTACAATTTTCCCTAAAACTGCCATTTTTCTGAAAATGCAAAAAAAAATGGCACATTTCTCTTTCAGAATGTCAACATTCTCAATGTTTTATGCCATAAATATGGCACTCGTAATGAATTTGGCATTTTACCCCCTGGTGACTGGAGGTGGTGCTGCTGAGGCGGCAGAGGCGACTGTGATTTTTTTTTGAGTTTTTAATTTTTTTTTTAATTTTTTTTTTTGAAAAACATTATCATAATTATCGAAATATTTTAATTAATTTTTACGAATTTTTATTATTTTATTATGAATTAAAACATTTCAATAGCTATAAGGGTATATTTGTCCAAGACACACATAATTAGTCATATAAAAATATAATTTATTTTTTGGTCCTATTTGTGCAAAGCAGTGGCGGAACTAGAGGGGGACGAGCTGGTGCCGACGCTCCCCCTTCACCGGAGATGTTAGGGTAGATATATAGATACTCTCGACAACGCCTCGGTCATCTTCTTCCCTGTAGCTTGTGTTTTCCATCGATGGTGTGATGCGGTTGAGCGAATGGTGATTCAAGTCTGAGAATCTAGATTGTTTTTTAACTTAATCCAAACGATGTCGTTGGGTTAAGTATTGACGGATTAGAAACGACGTCGTTGGGGTAGTGGGTAGAAGTTAGGTTTATTTTGATTTTAATACTCCCTCTGTTCCATTGGAGGTTGCCAACTTTCCTTTTTTTGGTTGTCCAAAAAAATTTTGTCACTTTCCAATTAAAGCAACTAATTTGTGGTTCTGTACATTTCTCTCTCCTCTGCACAACTCTCAAACACACAGTTTTTACTATTCTTATTTCTCTCCTACTTTGCACTTGACAAAGTCCACCGGGGCGAATGTAGTACGTAATTATCAAGCCAAAAGCCCAATTGCCTAAGGGTGTGTTTGGAAGTTGAGTTATGGTCTTCTTTTTCATGTTTGGAAGTTTAAAAAATTGGATGGGTGGTTTTGGAGGACTTTTGTAACCCTTCAAAACCCCCCAAATGCTTAATTTTTATAGGTTCCTCCAATTTGGAGAATTTTGGAGGATAATTAACAAGATGATAATTTAAACTAATTTAAAAATGAATATAAACTCAATGATTTGAATTTGTCATATCTCAAAGTGATTTTAATTATAATTCCTTCAAAAACTCTCTTCTTCCAATTTTATTACTCCTACATACAAAGAAGGGATTCATCACTCTCCCGTCCCTTTTCCCTCCAACAACCTACCTCCATAGTCTTTCCCTCCCCTTTCCTCCAAACTCCCAAACGGCTGGCGTAAGGGAGATAGCAGGCGAGCAACGTCAGCCAATTCCGTGATTTAGCCATTTGAATCTGCGGTCAACTGATTGAGGAAAGGGAAGCACCGTTTGCCCTCTACATTTTATTGTTTCAAGCTACAACCAGGTTTATTATTTATTTGTTCAACACTTCAACTTGTGATTATTTCTTTGTTCGATACTTGTAGTTATTCTATTTTTCGTTGTTAAGATTTGAGTTACCTGCATGGGAAGTTGAAATTAATGGAATATTAATATGCGGTACGGGGTATATTTATATATAGCTATAAAGGTTCAGCTTCACACTTTAACGATTAACGATTTTTGAATTGACATAATGTGTCGTAATGCTTTCTGGGCTTTTTCCTTCAATATTATCAAATTAAAGGTGATTTCCACAAATGTGACCATTTTTTAAAAGGACAAAAATGTAACTAAGAATGTCACATATTTGGAAAACATTATGTCACTGTATTTTTTATGTACAGATTTTTATGTAACTATTCAATTTTAATGTCACTATCAAATGTCACTACGGCCACCGCCCGTGTCACTGTGCCGCCGCCCGTGTCACTGTTGCCACCGCCCGCGTCACTGCTATCACCGCCCGTGTCACTACCGCCACTGCACGTGTCACTATCGCCACTGCCCGTGTCACTGATGCCTTGAGAACATGTCACTGCGATAGTTGGAAAATCTTCTGTGATTTTTTCCGGCAAGTCTGTCCCCCAACACCGCCACCCGCCACACTCCTGGCACCCCCTGCTCCCCGTATACCGCCCACTAACCCTACTCCTCCCCATCCCCATGCCCCCAGCCCCCTGACCAGCCCCCAAATCCCCTGCCGCCACCGGCGGCGGCCGCCTCCTTCCCATCTCCGCCACCGTTCTGGTTGATAACCGCCGCGCCGCCTGCCACCGCCGCCCCATTCCATCTTCAGCCACTACCGCCACAGTGACGCCATCAGCCACCTAGCCCTAGTCACACCTCTCCATCCCTGCCCCTCGCTAGCCCACACCCCAGCACCCCAACCCCTGTTCACAGCCTCCAACCAAACCAGATCTAGCCCAAACCGAACCCAAATACAACCGCTACACCACACTCCGCCCTCAGCACACTTACAATGGCGGCAGCAGTGCAGCAAGACGAAATTGCAGCTTCATCGAAGCCCCAATCACCGTGCTAGCCACATGTGGTTTGTTCAAAGCATCGCTGCATCGAAGCCCCAGCCACACACTGCAAAATTCAGGTACACATTCGGGCAGAAGAAGTAGAAGAAGAGAGGTTAAGGCTGAAGGCGGTTTTGGTGATGAAGTTGGCGACGAATCGGCGAGGTGCGGCGTGGCGGCGAGGCGAGATGTGGCGGAGAGGTGCGGCGTGGCGGCGCGGCGCGGTGTGGCAGGGCAATAGAGACGGAGAGCTCGATGGGCAGGTTGGCGCAGCAATGGAGGAGAGCTAGATCAGTGAAGGGGAATAGAAGAGAGAGGCGCAGAGGGTTGGGGCAGATCGATGGATTGGGGGAGAGATATGGTCACTTTTGTGTCCAGCTTAAAAATAATCCTATTTTTGTCTTCCCAAACTCTCTAAGTAATACTTTTGTCATTTTTTCATGCTTTTTTCTTTGATTAATTTTCTGTTTAGCAATTTGCATTTTACCACCTTGCTATAAATTCAATATTTTAGGCCAAAACTTTTATCATTTTAATTATTTGAATGTGTGAATATATTTCAACATTAAATATTATGAAATGCTCAAGTATTCTTATTCAACATAACAGTGAAATTTTCAAATACGTAGTATATTGGAAGAATATCAAATAACATTATTAAATACTCATAAATAACAAAATGCTACTTCCTATGTATTAATTTTTTTTTGTTATTGTAGTGAAGAATAAATAATTTTTTTGAGACTATAATATATGTTTATTACGGAATACTATAAAGTTTTATATAAAAGTTGATCCGATCTTCCCGACTTTGATCGAGTTGACCCATCGGATCCGGGTTTACCCGTGACCCGGTGATTTGGTGAGTTTCTCAGCCCCCGCTCAAAATCCTTATAGTTCCGCCACTGGTGCAAAGTGAGTCACTTTTAGTCTTATTTTGATAATTAACTCTTATTTTATTTGTGAAAAATTCCCTTAAAAGTAAGGTAATTTTTCACAAATAAAATAATTGTTTTATAGTCGCATATTCCCAGCTTCTAACTTTTGTACTGTTCGAAGTCTTTGAAAATTTGTAGTGATATGTTAGGCATGATAAGTTTTAAGAGTTTTTTTAAAGATAAAGGATTTTTTTGAGATGTTATTGTGAGTAGCATCTAATAAAAAATGTGTAGCTTTTAATATTTGTTAGTCCCAAAAACTTGTATATCAAACAGAACTAAATCAAACAGACATTTTTTTATCAAATAGCTACTACTTTTTTCTTTTAAAAACTTTTCAATCTTAACGGTTACTAAAACTCTTATAAAATTATAATTACAGTGTCAAACATACCCTAAACCTTAAGAAAAGACTTACCAATTCAATTATGACAAAACACTTACGGACAAAGAAAATTGTAAGGATCCTGGCAGGAGTGAGCAAAGGATAAGACTGCTAACAAGGTGCTGTCGTTTGGGACTTAGGCCGAGAGTACCCTACAGATTTCTTTGTTCCAAAAAAGGTGGAATTTCCCACCCCAGGAGTCCCCCACCCCGACCCGACAGGATGGTGGGGAGGTTAGTCACGGTGACTCAGTCAGCAGAATGGAGGCAGGCTCCCAGCTAGGCTTCTGATCGGGCTGGAGGCAGGCTCCCGGGTAGGCCGGAAGGCAGGCTCCTAGTTGGGCTGGAGGCAGGCTCCCAGCTAGGCTGGTCGGCAGGCTCCTGGCTAGGCTGGAAGGCAGGCTCCCCACTAGGCTGGAAGGAAGGCTCTCTTGGGCTTCCGGTTGGGCCGGTAGGCAGGCTCTCCGCTGGGCTGGAAGGCAGGCTCCCCGTTAGGCTGAAGGCAGGCTGCTGGCCGGGCTGGAAGGCAGGCTCCCACCTGGGCTGGAACGCAGGCTCCCACCTGGGCTGGAACGCAGGCTCCCAGCTGGACTAATCGGCAGGCTCCTGGCTAGGCTGGAAGGAAGGCTCCCCACTGGGCTGGAAGGCAGGTTCCCCGCTGGGCTGGTCGTCAGGCTCCCTTGGGCTTCCGCTCCTTGATTGTCCTGATCGGTTGGGCCGA